TCCGGCCAGACGGAGTAATAGGCTTCGCTAATCGCTCAGCCAACTAGTTCTCTCACTGTACTGTTACTTCCAGGGTAAAGCATCACTTTCTGATTTGAGATTAGCCCTGATTACTGTTCTTCCATTGACACTCAGCTGTACATTAATTTCTTCAGTAAAAGAAGCAGACGAACTCTTTTGATTTTCTCTTTCACAATCATCTACGGAAAAATCCGAATCGTCGCAGAAGAAAAAGTACCATCAGGATGCATTTTACTCCCCCAACACTAGATATCAACTAGGGTAAGGTGCCCTAATGTGGCCACTGTCCATTGATGGCCACTTTTCTCGATTTCTAGCCAATCTGGTCACTTTACAATCTTGGCCTTGAAGTACTGTTTTAGTGGTTGTAGTAAGGTCCCTACTTAAGCATAATAAGACAAACTACTTCACATCTTTGACTACATTTCAAGAAAAAAGCCGGTGGAAGCCGAAAGAGGGCGTCCAACCGTCTTCCGGGCCGCAATCAGACGATCTACAACCGATTGCGGACCGGAAGAGGGCTGGAAAGCCTCTTTCAGCCTTCCACTGGCTCCTGATCGGCCGGTGTCCGGGCGCATTTGGCCAGAGGCCAGAGGTCCCCTAGCGGGTTCGTTCTAGAGATTACGTCCATTTTTCTAAGCTACATTCGGTAACTTATTGGAGCTTGGCGCATGTGAGAATCATGGTGGGCCACCCGCCGTACCCGCATGCCCTAAAAGCAAGATGTTGCCCACCTATTAGGGCTCCCGACCGTCTTCCGGGCCGCGATCGACTGCAGGTTGGGAGCGGCTGAACCACTCTGGGCTGCAGAGGTTCCTAATGAGAAAAGGATTTTGGCGCGATATCGAAACGATAACGTTCCGATAAGGAATTTAGCTGATTTCGATACATTTTCGACATGCTATTTCGGAAAGTTATCGTATCGATATTTCATCAGACTGCTAAGGGGGTACCCTGGAGAGACTTGCCCGGACACCGGCCGATCAGGAGCCGGCCGGGGGCCGGAAGAGGCCTTCCGGCCGTCTTCCGGTCCGCAATCGGCTGCAGATCGGGGACATCTTTTCGCCCCTGTGGCGCAATGGGTGCAGGCGTCCGTGGTGCCTCCACTCACCCACCCCACACACGCCTCAGTAGTATAAGGCCATACCGGTCGGGTCCCGTCCGGGCTGAAGGCTCCCACCGGGTACCGTTCGGATGCCGTATGGGTGCCGTCCGCATGCCGTCCGAGTGCCGTCCGGGTGCCGGTCGGGTGCCATCCGAGTGCCGTCCGGGTCTCATCCAGTTCTCATCCGGGTCTGCCTCGTCCGGATTGATCTGTGCCATGTCCGGGTCCCGTCCGGGTCCCATCTGGGTAAGGTCCGAGGTTAAACCGGTTGCCGTCCGGGGCCCGACCGGAGTGAGCGTTGTCTGGGGGTGCGCTACTAACTTGAGGTAATTGCTATACATCATCTTCCAAATATATCGTCGTACGTCTGTATTTATCACTTATTAATTAAACCAAAATTGGGTGCGACCATCTGCACCGGGGCTACCTGCGGACGGCCAAAAACTGGCCATCCGCGCCGGGGCCGGTCCGTGTGCGCACACGACCAAGCCGCTTGGGGGACGCGCCCGCTAAAGCCCCCCGGCTGGGCTCTAATCCCTGCGCGGCCACCAAAATGGTCATCTGCGCCGGCATGTCAGTTCACTTGCCTACCCAGCCACTGTCAGGCGTTAAGTGTGTAATGAAGCAGAGAGGAGGGTGGTTTCCGCACGTCAACCAATAAGAACGAACATTATGTCTTGTCTCACATTTGTATTGCAAAAACCAATCTTGCAATGAATGAAGATATACACTATAAACACCAGTAAAAAATATTATAAAGTATTACATAATAAAAATTAGATGTGTTACAATAGGCAAGGGGACGTTAACATACAATAACAGAGGAACGTAATACAAACCTTTTCGAATCAATGTATGTTTCCAGGACATAATCAGAAAATTTGATGTCGGCAGCATCTTTGGGGGCACTCTAAAAACGCTTCCTCAACCATGTAGGGCGGTAGGCAGGGAGGACCCAGGAAGGCAAGCAGCCACTTTCCGCTCTCGTTATCTTCTTTACTGAACGTGCTCAGCAACTTTCGGTTGGCTCGTACGCGCTGTTAAAGAATAGCAAATAAATAAATAAAGAAATAAATAAAAGAAAAAGCGAGAAATGTAAGTGGGCACGAAAAAAGATAATCACCTTCACCAAATTTTGCGTAGAGTGAAACCGGCAAGCTCTGATGGTCACGTTCTGAAAAATTTTCGTTGCGGCGGCACGCGGCCCGTCCTCAAAGTCCAGCAACAGCTGAGTTGGATCAAGATCCACAACGGCTTTACTTTTGGTCACCTCTTTAAACATCTCAAACATGGAGACGTAGGTGGGTCCCTTCTTATCTGGTAAACAGAATGATGCCAGTGGTACATTGTAACCATCATTGTAGGCATGGATGGTGTACAATTGATGGAACTTATCCGCCGAGAACTCAAACGTCCCATCACCAAACCAGGTTTTGGAATCCGCAAGTAACCTGAAATAATTTTGGTTTAATTAATATGTGATAAATACAGACGTACGATGATATATTTGGAAGATGATGAATAGCAATTACCTCAAGTTAGTAGCGCACGTGAACATAATTATTCCTGCTGCCTCAATTGTGAAACGAAATTGTTCCCCTTTCGACGTACGAAGCTCTATAGTGCCAATCTGTTGAACAGCCTCTGTCCTGCTTTTGGGTAACGTGGACAGTATCTGAGCGAGCGGACCCTGCCCACGCGGGCCGCCGATCCCGGGAAAGGGCTGGGCTGCGGCTGGCGGCGCTGGCGCAGGTAGCGAGGTCCGGAGGCACCTGCGGGCGACGCTGTCGCCGTCACGTTCGACGCCCCTGGCGGCCCCCAATCGAGTTGTGTTCAATTTGAACAAAAGAGTCAGTTGGCCTGGACCTTGCCGAGTCCGTCGGTTCCAAATTTGTGGCGATCGCGCCCATAGGCACGCCACAGAACCGTGAACAGTGCGGCGGGGCGGGGGTCCCGGGCGGCACAGCACCCTCTCCATTAGTACTGCTCTGCAGGACGGTCCCAGCGACGGTAAAGATATGGGGGTGTATCTGGCAACTCTTGGCCGCGTGGAGTGTGGAGCCGCAGGGCACCTGAAACAGACCTGCGAGAAACTGGGAGGAAGTGATTAAGTAACACTGTGAAGAAAAGTAGGTAGGTTTACAGGAAAATTTTCCTTGACGCAAGTGGTAAAATAACAATTTGTAATCGTAAAAATACATGCATTATGTATCGACTTCCAATAGCTTGGCGAGTAGAAAATGTGCTGTCGTAAATTTACAACTTAAACTATAATTCGGGTTTACAAATTTTTTGTAAATTGAAGATGATATTTTTCACAGTGTGAAAGTGAGGGCGCAGTAGCAAGGCGAAGAAAGCATCGCCAAAGCAAGCTGGACGGGCATGCCAACCGGACCATCCTTGGCCTACGCGTTTGAAGTCTTGCAGAAGCAGGAACAGTGAACTGCCATGAATTAATTACTCTGGTCAGCCCCTGGATAAAATACCCTGAATGAAAGAAACAAAACTGGTATGAGACACATGTTAACCATGGGCAACATAACGTTGCAGGTTTACACTATACATCACACTAACTAAGCAAGTCCAAGCACCACAATCACCGAGGGTAAAGCGTACAATACGACAAGTTGGTAGGACAAAATGTTGAACACTCGGGTCAGCGAACAGCGGGTGTAGGGTTAAATATACTAACCCAACCAGGCGGCCGAAGCACGCACTGGGGATAGTCACACATGAACTACATCCCGACTGATCAAGAACCAAGCAGAACGACCAACTAAATATCCTACGGGAGGCGGCTGGATATGAGAAAGTTTGATGAACTCACCAAGTATAATATGGGAAATTCGGTAGTCAGGAAGGGAGCGGGAGATTTGATAAGAAACAAGTAACGCAGCACAAAGTGCTCGTTACAGGAGACATGCCTTTACGAGCCAGGTGGCTAGCCCACACCGGCCCGCCTTCCCCCTTCCTGTCCCATGCACAAATATAAGCGGACGGGAATAACTGGTAATCATTTATTTCGGGAATCATGTGTACACATCAACAAGGAGTTATTGCTTCCTCGGGAATAACACGAGGATTTCGTTGAATTTCTAAAGCTAAACCAGATAAATTTGGATAATTAGGTCAAATTTAGTGACAATTTTTAAAAATTTGTTTCAGTTTTACATGGATTACATAGGATTACACTCCCATCTGTACCCGGTGTTGAAGGTGAATCCCTCGGGATAGGTACTCTATTAGCGAAGAATGCGGAAGTTGGGGTTGGGGTCTCTCCAACCTTAAGCATACTTACGCTTGCACTCGCTGCTGCACAAACTGCCGCACGGACCTTGTTGGTAAAATGGCCGCCTGCTCTCGAATCAACCGTTGCTCCTGCAGCGCTGCCAGGAGGTGTGGGTCCGGCTCGCAATTTGGATCGTCCTGAGGGTGAATGAGAGAGAACAGCGTTTTGGTGGTCCCCATCGGTCTGCATACGCCCACGACACTTCAGCCTACCAACGGTGCACGCACTTGCGTATGTCACGACCCCGTTCACTCGGGGTCGATGTTCGCGGTGATGCCACCTGCCTTCCCACAGAAACACATATGTATCCTGATGCTGGCCCGGAATACGGTGCAGGTCACCGTTGACCACTATATGCTCTGCTGCCGTCAGGACCGACCGATGCGACGGTCCTTTGCCAACTGGCTAAACGCTCTGCCCCGACGATGCTCATAGGGTTTACCGGGGGTAGGGGGGGGTGGCAAAGGGGTACGCTACGTTCATGGGCCCGATGGATCTGAAGCGATCAGGTGCCCATGAGAGCAGTCTG